CTGGCTCACGCGCGTCTATTCGATTGGGTCTCAAAGAGCAGCCTCTGTCGTCGCAGCCGTCGCAATCGTCGCGTCGGTTTCCGTTGTGACATTTCTCCTACTATCGCCAGGATTTGCGCTGCCATTCTTTCCGTCGTTCCTCCCCAGGGGCCCTGCGTCACCTCCCTCCGCTTTCCCGCAGAGTGGTTGCGAAGTTGCGAGGAACTGTCGCGAGAAGCGACTGGATAGATACATTTACGTCGATCAGGATCCGTCAGAATTCTGGTGAGCTTATAACGAGGATAGCGTGCGAGTAGAGGTGAATGTGAACTCCTGAAACGGTTCGAGGTGGACGTCTTGCTTCACTACTAGCCAAGGTGTTAAGCAATCCTCCTCAAACGCAATTCTCTTACTGCAGTTCATACGCGTTTACTTGTGATGGCGTCAATGAGATATGCTGTTAACGCGGATGGATTTGGACGTTGGTTGGATTGGAGCAGGTGGGAGGACTCTGGCATTCGCATGCGAGACAAGGCCCCCAAGGGGTCGTGGACGGGTTACTTTCTGCGGGTTACCACACACCGTTGGTTTAACAGGACCTTTACAGACCGTAATCACTGGTGGCATTGGCTGACCGTGATTGTAAGACATGGTAACATGGTTACCGGTTGAGGACGTGGAAGGTGATTGTACTATGAGCCAGGCAAAAATGTGTTTGTAACGATCAGAACGCCCTTTTTTTTCCCAGAATTACGCCCACATCACTCGTGACCACTCTTTTTCATCCGCGAACAAAGGCTGGTGCTGTTGATCATCGGGTTGGAGTGGACTCAACTCAACTCACCAGTCCCTTTTGCGCCCATCCTTTTAGATACTCAACTCACCAGTGCCTTTTTCACCCCCCTCTCAATGCACTCCTCCCCGCAGGCGCCTGATGACATGCACAACGCGCACAAGGGGCTCGTGCTGTTTGTCATCGGGTCGGGGTGGTCGCGGCGGCACTACCATGACGTGCCTGATAAGGACGAAATGTTCACCACTGCCTTTGCCCCGTACGTGCTGCCTTCGCCTGGCATTGCTGCTGCTGCTGCTGCTGCTGCTGCTGCTGCTGCTGCTGCTGCTGCTGCTGCTGCTGCTGCTGCTGCTGCTGCTGCTGCTGCTGCTAGGGCGTGAGGGTTCGTCTCCTTGACAAGTGCAAGCATGCATTTGGCAGGCAGAAGGGCATGGCGTGACGACACAGGACTGTTAAGTTGAAATCCTCGGCCCACATGGTCCCCCCTCCACGTATGGAATTGAAGCCATGGCATAATGATGGCGTGATGGCTTATGGCACCAACCTGCGGCTCTGCTACTGTTCGCGATGTGAGAGTGGCACACAGATTATCACGGGGGAGTAGGCGAAGTTGACGGATAGCTGGTCAGGCAAACGTTTCATGCCATGTGGTGTGATGATGTTACGTTGACTGTCGTTGCTCTTCTGAACACCCTCCTAGTTTCATCATCTTATCTGTTAGTCAGCACGACCTGGCAACCTGGCAATGAAGCTGGTGAATCCCGAATACCATAGAAGCCCGTTGGAAGAAACGTCACCGCATCACGTCACACCCACCACCACCTACCCCACCCCCCTATATCTGCTGCTCTTGTCCATGGCCCAACTATGCTATGCCACGTGGCAGCCTGGTAGTGGAGCTGGGGATTCTGGGAGCAGTGCTGCACGAGCAGCCAATGGAGCCAATATCATTCTTTGTGGGGCCTAACGGGCCGGGCAAGTTTGGTCTGCTGATAGAAGACGAGCTCATGGCGTGTGAGTGAGTGAGTGAGTGAGTGAGGTAATGTCGAGTTAGAGAGTGAGACGATCTTGTGTGAGTGAGTGAGTGAGTGAGTGAGTGAGGCGCTGGTGTGTGAATGAGTGAGTGAGGTGACGGCGTGGTGTGTAAGTGAACGAGGTGATGGCGTGTGAATGAGCTGATAGCATGCATGTGAGGTCGTGGAGATATGTGTTTATGTGTTGAAGTGAGTGCGTCAATGTACATGACATCATCAACGTCGCTGGAATGGAAACATCCCGACTTACGTTCGTTCAAATATACATCTCCATAGAGGTCGTTTCTTGTTTTCTTTATTATGCATGAACGTATAGAATTAAACAGCAATTCATTTCATAAAACGCCCATCCTGTGCTCATCCATCCCTGCGTGCTCCTCTATCCCAGTCTGCTTTGCCATGGCATTGGCGCATCCGGAGCAGCTAGAGTGGCACCTTGCGGCACCCATGGCCAAGTCCATCGTGAGGGGAATGGATGCGCTGCAACTCGCCTCCAGAGAGATCCTCCCCCACCTGCCGGTCAGTGCCGCTCTGCTTGCTGCTGGGCAGTGCCGCTCTGCTTGCTGCTGGGCAGTGCCGCTCTGCTTGCTGTCTCTCCATGCCATTGCGACGTCCCGACTGTCCCCACCTGCCCTGCCCGCACCTGCCCTGTCCCCACCCGCTACTGCCCGCTTTTGCCAGTCATTGCCTTTCTGATTGATGTCTATTCAGTCGGTGCTTTCCCCACTGACCTTCAGTCTGCTCTGGTTATGTTGCATGCTGGCTTGTTCTGGTTGGGTTATCGCCACAATTCGCGTACAATGGGATGGTGAAATGGGGTGTCTGGCATGGATGTGTGGCATGGATGTGTGGCATGGGATGTGTGGCATGGATGTGTGGCATGGGATGTGTGGCATGGATGTGTGGCATGGATGTGTGGCATGGGATGTGTGGGCTGTGATCTGTGGCATGAAATGGGATGTGACGTAGATGTGGGGCATGGGGTGTCTGGCATGGATGTGTGGCATGGATGTGTGGCATGGGATGTGTGGCATGGATGTGTGGCATGGGATGTGTGGGATGTGATCTGTGGCATGAAATGGGATGTGACGTAGATGTGTGGCATGGATGTGTGGCATGGGATGTGTGGGCTGTGATCTGTGGCATGAAATGGGATGTGACGTAGATGTGGGGCATGGGGTGTCTGGCATGGATGTGTGGCATGGATGTGTGGCATGGGATGTGTGGCATGGATGTGTGGCATGGATGTGTGGCATGGGATGTGTGGGATGTGATCTGTGGCATGAAATGGGATGTGACGTAGATGTGTGGCATGGGGTGTCTGGCATGGATGTGTGGCATGGATGTGTGGCATGGGATGTGTGGCATGGATATGTGGTTCGGCTCGGGACAGGTGGAAAGCTTTGTGGTCATGGGAATGAGCAAGAGAGGACTGATGGCATGGCTGACAGCAGCCATGGATAAGGTGAGAAAGACCTTCCTGTCTACTCAAAATTCACCTTATTACTACAATGGCAAACAAACTTGTTTAATTGACTCAAAGTCGCCTCATGGGAGTGAGCAAGAGAGCACTGATGGCGTGCTTGGCGGCAGCAATGGATGAAGTGAGAAGGAAGGGCGTGCCTGTCGCATCCAGCTCCACCTGCATTGCATTGCATGGCACCACCTACCATTGCATGGCACCACCTACCATTGCATGGCACCACCTACCATTGCATGGCACCAATGACACAATATATGGCATCGCGTCCTCTGCGTGTTGAATTTCTATTGTGAGCACTCCCTTGATGCAAGCAGGAGAATTGTTTATCGTTTGTATGCAGGAGAATTGGAATTGTCAGCAGCGGAGTGCAGCAAGCAAGGAATCGTCAAGAGGAATGGGGATGATGCTAAATCGGCAGCAGCACACCCATGCTGGCCCCAAAGACCAGCAACCTTCCATGCGTGCATAGCGGGTTCCTCGCAATTCGTTTGTTTGTCTCCCCATGGCAGAGGGTGGTGGGCATTGTGGCGCATGGCTTTGACCTGCTGGACTTTGGTCGCAACTTCCAGCACCTGCACGACTCGCTGGGCGCGTGGCCGGTCATTCTCAAGTTCTACGCCATCTTCAACGTCACCTCCCAGCTGCAGTCACCCCAGTTCCAACGCCCTGTTGTAAGCACGTGCTAAGATGGAAGGTATGGTCAGCCTGGCCCTGCCCAGAAATTTTTTTTTTCACCTGTCCAGCAGGCGTATTTTCAACGTATTCTCAAACCACTCTGCCCACGGATCCCGTTGTATGCGCCAGCGCGCTGGCGTATAATACTCCGGTCGCGTCTTTCCCAGCACAGAGCACATGGAGAGAAGCGAGTGTGGGATGGAGAATGGCGTAACGTGTAACGAGTGAGTAGTCATGTAGCCCTGTGCCTGTTTCAACGTCACGTCCCTGAGCTTGGCTCGATGCAAGCTCATGGTGACGGAGTGTTTGAGAGAGAGAATGGTTGGACTTGGATTGGATCTGTGCTAGTCTGGCTTTGCCAAGCTGCTTCTTTTTCTCTCATGCCCGTATTTCTACCTGGCTCTTTCTGCCAACCAGCCCACCTTCTTTTCCAGCTCCACTCCGCTCATTCTCTTTCTCACTACAGGACGACACAAACCTTCTCACATTGCACCATGCCTGGCTGACTGCAGGAGGACACAGACTCGTATTGCTTCAGGGAGCGCCTCACCATGCCCAAGCTGCTATAATTCTCCAAGTACTATCATAGTCACACAACCCCGTGACCCCATGAACCCATGCCTGGCTGAATGCAGGAGGGCACGGACCCATATTACTTCAGGGATCGCCTCACCATGCCCAAGCTGCTCCTCTGTGCATCTAACGATGAAGTGCTAGCACTAGATGACACGTGAGTGGGGTGATGGTGGTGGCATGTGAGTGGGATGACACGTGATTGGGGTTTACGGTAGGGTTTAGGGTTATGGTTGACGACGGTGGAGTGCGGTGGTGGCACGTGAGCTGAGCAGGGTGGTGGCACGGCATGTGACCCGTGATTATGAGAATGACGAAGATGTGTGACGCCACCAATCTTCCCTGCCCCCCCCTTCTCCCTCATCCTTCCTTCCCCCTCCCCCCCGACAGGTACATCTGGTGCCCTTATGCCCTGTTCTCCTCTCTTCGCCCACCTTCCCCCCCACCCCCACACTCCTGCCAGGTACATCTGGTGGAATGATATGCCCGAGACAAAGCTGCTCAAGATAATGGCCAACTCGGAGCACATGCATCTCCACATCAACCAATGGGTGGGTGGGTGGGTAGGGTTGTGTTCGTCTGGGTGTTTTGAGAATTCTGTAAGATGGAACAAAGCCACCTCAACCAATGCGAGCATTGTTGGTGTTGCCTTTCCACAAGCCACTTCAACCTATGCGATGAACAAGCATTGCACTCAACCGTCTTGCCTTGTTGCAAACTTTCACATTTGCAACCTCCTCTTCCACTCTTGCTTCCCACTTGTTCTCTTCGCCTGTTCCTCGCCTTACATTAACTCCTCTCCAATGTCTCCTTGGGCCTCTTTTACCAGTGTGCATGATTCATTCCCATCATCACATCTCCCATACCCGTACTCTCAAAACGCTCAACCTTCAACATCTCCCGTCAACCCCCTCTACCCGCTCTCCAAACCCCTCTCTTCTTCCCCTCTTGTCAAACTATATGTATGCATATTGTAGGCCAGGGTTTGGGTTACTCTTTAGCGGGTAGAACATTTGCACTCATGCTTTCTGTATGCCTTGCTGTTCATCATTCATCGTGTTCAGTTTCTAAAATGGTATCACGAGTAGGTTGGTAACCGCTTCCGCTATCCCCACCCTAGACCGCCTAACCTAGCACGCCCCGACGCGCCCCGCCCCGAGGCCGCTCGTTACCCGAGGCCAACCGTTGCCCGTTGCCGGCTGTCGTCCTTAGCCGCCCGCCGCCCTCACCCTCTCGTCGCCTAGGCCGCCTGTCAACGCGACCTAAGGCTCCTCCTAGCCCCACCTCCAGTCGCACTTAGGAAGGCCTCCTACGGACCCCTCCCATCGCCATGACCTAAGGCCCCCGCGAGCCCCTCCTCTCGGGCTTAGGAAGACCATCGCGGGCCCCTCCCGTCGCCACGACCTAAGGCCCCCGCAGGCCCTTCCAGTCGCGCTTAGGAAGGCCCTCGGGTACCCCTCCTGTTGCGAGTAGAAAGGCCCTCCGTGGGCCCTTTGACCTAGGCAGCCCATCGCCTAGGCCGTCCGTCGCGCTAGGCCGCCCGTCGCACCTCGACCGCTCGTCATCCGTGCTGCCTGCCGCCCGTCCGTAGCCCACTGCCCGCACGCTCGCTGCTGCAGCTGCTCGCGCGCCACAGCCCGCCACTCCAGCCCACGGCCGCACACTACTACGGCCGCCCGCGTGCTGCCACAGCCGCTTGCATACCGCCGCCAGCAGCAGCAGCCGTGTCGCGCCTGCTAGCCCGCAATTGCCCGTGCCCGCCTCTGCCAGCCCATCACTGTCAGGCCCTCCAACCGCCACTACAGCTGCTACAGTCGCCCAGGGCTGCTATTGCCGCTACAGATGCTACAGCCCGCCACCGCCGGCTGCTGACGCCAGTGTTAATGTCAGTCCTCAATGTCACATTTTGTACTTGCACTTTTTATATCCTGGTTTAGTGTAGTTTGTACTTTGTGTTTGGTTTGGTGTCCACCCACATCCCAACCAAACCCAAATGTGATCTCCAAGCAATCTCCAACCCACCAATTGGAGATTGCCTTGGGACTATCCCCAACCTTTAGAGATTACCCCCGATTCCGTCCCCATCCATTCCTCGCTCATTTTGGATGTACTTCAAGAGCTTCAAGCTCATTAATAATTCGTTTATTCTAAGCTCAAATTCTGACAGCCAGCGCCTTAGCAGCTGCTCGTTCCTAAGCTATTGGCCGTGCCTTACCTACCGCCAGTGTCTTAGCTACAACTCTTAGCCGCCTCTGCTGCCGCCCAAGCCGGCCTTGCCTGCCCGAATTACTTTTACATGCTCGAGCCGCCCTTGCCTGCCCGAGTCGGCCTTACCTTCCCGAGTTGCTCTAGCCGCCCCGGGCTCTGAGTCTCTCACAACTGCGCGCCACTGAGCTAACCTACTTCCGGACTCCTCGCACTTACGCTGAGGCAGTGCCAGGACGCTTGGCCTCTCAGTGGATAGCAATGATGGATGAAGAGATGCATGTTAGAGGTCCATAGGCACCTACGTCGACGCACTGGACGTTATCTTGACCTGCAAGTCATCAGGGACAGAGTAGTGCGTATCGTCACAGTGACACAATCACAGATGGTGTTGGAGATCCTTATGTGTTTCGGTTTTCAGTTCTCCTATGCACAACCCACCCTTCTTGTTGTAGACCATGAGCTCTCGGCTCCTATCCATAACAAGCCTGCTTAGTCAGTGGTCAGTAAGCAGAGATGGTGATGTGCTTGGTGTAGATCTTACACTTCCTCTCAGCATCCTTGCTCGCTTTGTGGCGATTGGGAGACATCGTCCCGTTCACTGAACGGTCGCTAGGAGGGTGCCACGCAATCTGGCGAGTACATGTGGGGCTTGTGCTTAGATGACGACAGTTAGTCACTCTCATGGAACACACTGACTCGTTGTGGCCAGAAGACCCTGAAAATATCAGGTCTTCACAGTGCTACTGCTTCGATCTTGGCGCTGGAGCTATTTCGTGGAGGTCGCCTCGACCGTCGTTTGTAGCCTCATCCTGTGCTGAGGTAGAGACGGTGGTGCTATCACCACCCAGGAGCTTTGCTGGCTGACTTTCTTGCTCACTACTAGGTGAGCCGACTCGCTCGGCACCGGTCCTGTTTGCTGGATAACAGGACCATGGTCCTTGTCACAAGTTCATGATCTGGAAATGGTCCAATGTAAAGTGTAAATCCTGGGTGCAACTACTGGACCATTTTTAGGCACGTAATAGGCAGGTAATTATAATGTTTCCAGAATGAAATCACGCCGTAGAACCGGCAAGAGTAGAGCCATTTCCAGATTGGTACAGTCATTCGGTGCAAAGTTAAGCGCACGCAAGGTCACGCGTGATAGTGCGAGATAATTCTAGAAACGGTGCATACAACATCTATTTGGTGCATTAAATTGAAATATGAAGTAGAAAAGTAAACGAATAGGAAAATGAAGGTAGGAGAAAAGGTAGAATATAGAAGATTAAATAAATTAGGACTGAATGGACGGCGTACTCTAACAATCCTCCTGTGTCAGGAGTCTCGACTAGAGAGCAAAGAGAAGCACATCCAGCTGTTCTTCCTATTAAGTGAGTTGCAGCAGCGGGGCCAGGCACGCGTGGTACAGGCGGCTTCAGAGGCTATCACCGCTGATATGTTCACCTAGGGGTGAGCAAGAGGCGAACACGAACATGTTCGTGTTCGCCTCAGGGCGAACACTTCAATCCAAAAAAGGTGTTCAGTGTTCGCCAGTGAAGGCGAACACCTAGCTGCCACGGGCGAACACGAACATGTTCGTGGCAAACATGTTCATGTTCGCCCCTGGAGTATTTTCAACATAGTCACATTCACTCACAATGGACAGATCTAGAATTTGGACCGTGCGTAATGAACAGTGGGGGGGGTTGTGGGTGTCTACGTGTTCATGCAATGCAATATATCAAATCCAAACACTACACGTTCAACCTAGCAACACTATTGTAGTAGCACAACACCACCACACAACTTGCTACTACGCCATGGTCCCACTGCCTCCAACCACATCATCCCCGCCTCTCGTTGCGTCAGCCCCCTCATGCTCCTCCTCCTCTTCCTCCTTTTGGTCGTCCACATCCACCCCTTCGCCCTCAATGGCAAACTCGGGCTCTGCAATTCCTCTCGGACGCCGGCCCTCGCCGATCCTCTGGCCAGGGTGTGAACTGTACCATGACCTGAGAATCATGACAGAACGCGTCCTCTCAGCGGCCAGGCTGTGCCGCTTCCAAGAGACCAGGTTGCGGCCAAGAGAGAACGCCCGCTCGCCCGCTGTGGACGTGGCAGGGATGGCAAGATAATCCCTTGCCATGCGCCTCAGCATCTGCATGTTGGTGGCTGTGTGCCAGTAATCTAGTGCTGTCACATCGGGCCGCACCGGCTTGGACAAGTACCTGCTAACCTCGTCATCCGGCACCAGCCCAAACCCCCCCCCGCCACCTCGTGGGAGTGGAACCCTTCCACGAAATCCTATCGATGCAAATCTTGCACTGACGCTTGTAGTCTGTCCCTTGAGGCCCGAACATTTGGACTTGCCACCCCAGCTTCTTCTTCCCCTTGCCAGACCCCTTACTACTCTCGGACCCCCCTTCCTCGTCAAGAAACTCAGGCGCGATGACTCCCTCTCCCAAGGCCTCCCCAGTGAATGTGCATGGATACGCTCACGGTCTCAACTTGGGTGCTCTCTTCCTCCGCTTCGGCATCCCAATAGACGCTCGCTTCCTCCCCACCTTAACCCCTACACTCCCACCTCCTTCTGCCGCGTGCTGTGAGGCCGCCTCTATCTCTACCCCTCCACCCTCTCCCACCCCCTCATCCACCTCCTCTGGCTCCAACCCATCCAACTCGTCGTCTTCATCACCCCCCCCTTCCCCACCACCATCCTTCTCGGGATCCCACCCCTCCTCATTGTCATCCCCGCTCCCCTCCTTGTCCCCATGCTCCTCCTCCTCCTCTTCGTCCTCATCCTCCCCCTCACTGTCACTATCCGTCGGAGTCTGCCCACTTGAAGGGGGCCGGGAGCCACTGTAACGAAACGATCGGCGGGATGTTGGGGCAGGAACGGCCAGAAACCCCCCAACGAAACAAGCACCAGCACCAGCGGGTCCGTCCCCTACTCGCCCTTGCATGGGTCGTTGGTGTGCCGCTCTCGCAAATCCGAGCACCTCCTTGATGACCGGAGGAAGCCATAGATCTACTGTAAACCCTAAACTCGAGGTAAGATAGTTGTAGAGTTCGAGTGCCACTGACGCGACTAAGAATAGCTTCCAATGTCCCGTAAACACTAACCCAAAAAACCTACATAGGTGAAAAAACGGTAGGTAAAAAGCCCAAAGTTCTGGAAACTAATGGAATTTCCGTATGAATGCTATGAAAGTTCCGTGTATTAACCCTAAGATGAGACGCTAAGGCTATGGCGCTTAGGGGAGACCAGGGGTGGGCGCCTAGGAAGATGTGAGTTCGAGCTGCAAAAATGAGGTCAAACTCAATTTGGTCGCGACCTAAATTCGTTGACGAACACCAAAGT